ATTTTTTTGAAAAAAAATATTTGTTTGATTAATATTATTATAAGGATATTTATATTTTAATTGTGTGTAAATTTAAAAGACTTTATAGGTCACCAAAAAGAATCTGTTTTTGTAATACAGGTGGCAAGAAACAGTGTGCAAACAATGTGAAAAATCAAAAGGAGTTCCCTTTAGAAAATTGTCCAGTGATTATTCACACTTTTAAATTTTTGGTTTTGCACATTGTTTCATGTTCCATTTCCCACCCTCCGCACATTGTTCTCAAATAATTTTGCGCACTTTTTGCACATTTCATTTTCGTCAGGGTGTATACTGGTATATTATAATTTGTAAAATATTATATATCAACTCTTGTGCCAACATTCTTATGCTTTTTATTCAAAATAATATAATATCCTCAATTATACTCAATAAAAAAAATAGCAAAAGAAATTTGGAATTTCCTAAATTATCTATAAAAAACGCTCAGGAACAAGTGTTCCTTTGATCAATTAACTTCAAACTTTGCAAGAGTTTTTTTTAATTTGGAACTGATGTGTGGGTCCAGCTAAATTTTTTTTTTTTTAATCTATACAGGGTGTTTAAATTTATACAGGGTGTTTCCAATATCTTTGAATTTTGACCTACAGCTAAACCAAGCATGGATTTGTAATCTACGACCAAAAATTAAGTTTACGTGTCCGAGCGTTTAGCTGTGAAATTTTTACCTCCCTACAGTGTTATTACATATATAAATAATAGTTAACATATATGCCCGCTAGAGGGGCGCCGATGAGGTGCTTGCCTAGGGCGCTCTCGACATTTAATCCGCCTCTGGGCGGGATACGTATAGAACCGAAAGGGGGTAAAATAACCCTAAAATATCAGTGTAAGGCGTAGCCGATGGGGCCTGCCATACGTTCTTATACTCATACTCATACTCAAAACCTTATTATTCAACCATCCTTGCAATGACCTGGTAGGTATACCCAGCAAACCTGGTAGGTATACCCAGCAAACCAGGCTGTTCCATTTACATAACCATGATATAACTAACAAAGAACATTGCCATATAAAATTGTTTATATAACATTTACATATTAGTTATTTATTTTGTTACATAATTATGATAAAACATAGTAATATAACATTTATATAAATATGTTCCCCTCTTGTTATATTTACATCCCCCTTATGTATCAGCCATATAACAATGTTATATATCTACAATGGAACAATGATACATCATTGATATATGGCAATGTTTTATAGTATCCATATAACCTTATTATATGGTATTTACATAGTTTTTCTTTATTTTGTTACATAATTATAATAAAAATTTTTAATATAATAGTTATATCAAAATGATCCCTTCTTGTTATATTTACATCCCTATTATGTCATGGCTATATAACAAACATATGTTTTATACCTACATTGTAACAATGATATATAAATGTTATATATTAATGTTTTATAGTATTTATATAGCCTTTTTATCTTACTAACGAACTCGTTTAAACGGTTGTGTCAAGTGCTCTCTATTGTGTTTTAAGTTAAGTTAAGTTTGATTCCATTTTTTTATAATAAAATGGAAGACAAAAATAGAAAAAAATATATTTCCCTATCCCGGAGGCAAAAGCGGAGGAGAATTAATGCAGATCTCAAAATAATGGGCGTGGAGGTAAGAAATTGTATAGAAAATACCCAAGACAATGTGGAATATACTGAGGCTAAAACCGAAGTATTATCTTTCCCTAACCAGCCAATAAATAAATGTTAACATATAATAAAAATATTTTTACAGAAAATTTGGGAGAATATTCAGGAGGTCATAGGAAAAATTCCCATACTTTTGTGGAAGATTTGCAAGATTTGTGTAATAGATACTTACCTAGTCAACTTTTTATTAATACTCTGTTAAAAGTTTTGAGAAAACATTATTGCAAAAAGAAGTAGAGGCTGAATTTGTAAGTATATAAAGGGCGATTTTAAACCTGTTTAATAATGTTAATTTGTTTTTAAAACACGGTGCTAAAAAACAAGCGACAAATTATAATTTAATGATATTTGGTAGCCAAAATAAGAGTTTAATTTCTATATTTTTTTAACTTTATACTGTTTTTTCAACTGGTATACTTAAAAGATACAATAATTTAGCTAAATAACCAAGATGGATACACTTTTTTATTATAATTGTTGTGACAATTAATTTTATGCAAATTCCATATTTTTCATTATTTTTATATCTCTTAAGGTTGCAGGGTGCATTTGACTTGAATAAATAAAATCAAACAAATTATTATTTGTACCAAATATCATTTACATAACTACATAAAGAATATATATATATAGTTGTTCTTTGTTTTGAAAACAAATCAATAAACAAAAATAATATTAAATTGTATTTTTTTCAGTTTCAGTATATAAAAAATTGGAGGCGTCTCAGAGAAAGATGCCACAGTAAGAGTTTTAAAGAAAATCTTCTCAAATAATTTGGCAAAAGATTGCTCTTGGCTGGGGCTAAGAAACAACAATAAAATTCAAAATTTAAAATCTGTTGAAATATTGAAGGGTAAAAATGTAAATTTTATGGGATTTTTTATTAAATAAATTTTGTGCTGTGTGCACTTCGACAGACAAAAATTTTGAAGGCATAGTTTCTGAATGGTTCCGGCAGGCCAAACAAAGATTTGGTATACCCTATAGGGAAGCAAAAAACCCATGAAAAGAAGGTATATTAATATTAAACTCATGGGATTGCTTTATCTTTTTTACCATATATTTTTTAGCTTTGAAGTATTATAATACTTCCCCAAATACAGTATACTGTATTTGGGATTTTTTTTTGTTTGGAAAAACTTTTCGTTTGTTTTAGAAGTTAGAAAGAAGAAATGATTTGTTTTTTTTTAATTAAAATAATTTTTAATAAACATTTAAACCAATTTGTTTTTTTTTTAATCTCTTTCAGAATTATTTATTTTTGTAATGTTTACTTAAGTAAACAATTAAATAATTATTATTTATGTAATATTTATTTATAATTTATTTAATATATTACCTGGCATTAACAATTTCTTAGTTCTAATTTGGTATTATGGCAATTTTAAAATTTTGTTGATTTTTATTCAAAAAAATTGCCATAATACCAAGTTAGGGCTAAGTTATTTTTAATACCAGTAAGATAATATATTACATGAAATTATATTTATAAATATTTCATAAATAATATGTAAATATTGCAAATAGAATATAATTGTTTTATCACGTTTACATAACTATGATATGGCGCTGTAACATTACAGTTACATATCTATGATAAAACACTGTTACATCACAGATACATACCCAGGAAGGGGTCTTGAGGCGGACATAGGAGCATCGCCATTACATATAGGTGACATAGCTGTTGCATAGTAAGGAACAATTTTTATGTAAATGTTATATCACTGTTACATAACTGATATGGCGCTGTAACATTACAGTTACATAACTATGATAAAACACTGTTACATCACAGTTACATACCCAGGAAGGCGTCTTGAGGCGGACATAGGAGCATTGCCATTACATATAGGTGACATAGCTGTTGCATAGTAAGGAACAATTTTTATGTAAATGTTATATATCACTGTGACATGATTTGGTTTGCTGGGTACTGTACCTTAATTAAATTTAATTCAACAGATGTCATCTGATCATCAGATCTTATAAATTGTTTTTAGAAAGTTAACTTTCTAAAAACAATTTATAAGATCTGATGTATATATTGTATGTACCTATAACAGTCATTTTCAAGTTTTTACAATTCTAGTCAGCTAAATTGTAACAATTGTTAAAGAAATAATTTAGAAATAAGCTTCAAGTCCATAATCTCTGAGAGAAATATTGAAATCATTTTTAAATCGAATCGAAAAAAGAAAAACGTATGAGGCCTATGGTTAATTTTTTGGCAAGCAAATTTTTCCATTTAATAATTTTGGATTTGATGTGCTTACGAACTTTTTTCATATTTAAGAAAGGATTATATAGTATAATCGTTAAGTGAGGAGGTATAATCGTTTATTCACTTAACGGTATAATAATACTATACTACCATTGATACTACTGAACCATGATACAAAGAATGTATCATTAAAGAACACTTGAGTATCATGCTACTGAACTAAAAAATTTGAACCACTTTAGTATAGCCATACTTGGATAGATGGTGCCTAAAACATATTGATGCATATTGGAAGTATGTGATTGATGCACATACTTCCAGTATGTGAAGTATGTGATTGATGGTAGGCAACCGTTAACACAAAGTTTTGAAAATGCTTCAATGTAAAAATGTCTGAACTAAATATATTGCTACAAGAAATTCAGCCCATAGATAAACTATGATCCATGGTATTTTTAAGTATTATGTTTTGTTTTTAAAATTTATATTGTATATTTTTAAAATTTTTATGATCTTTGGCAACATTGCTTCCATTTTTAGTCCCACAGTGACTATAGCGGTACTTTAGCGTGCCTCTATAGAGGCACGCTAAAGTACCGCGATTGAAAATGTTAAAGGCACGTTAGTTACGTCATAATTATAATCTGTTTTTGTTCCCCCAGCGTTTAATATTTGACATCAAGCTAGATGGCTCACATGGTAGGGCGGTCGCTTGGCATGCGAGAGGTTTATTTTTTATTTCATAAATTTGTTGTTTCTTTGTTAAACAGTGTTCGGTTGGGTTGGGTTGGTTTGTTTTAGTTTTATCGTAACATAAAACCTACTAGAAGTTGTCGAACTTTTTTTATTTCATAAATTTGTTGTTCCTTTGTTAAAAAGTGTTTTATTTTTATCGTAAGATAAATTTGCCCATTTTAGTTGGGTTTTTTGCTCAATGGCGGGGTCGGTTGGGTTGTGTTGAGTTTGGGATGGTTTGGTTTTATGACGTAACTAACGTGCCTTTAACATTTCGAATCGCGGCACGTTAGCGTGCCTCTAGTCACAGCGTTTTAGTCTCCTAAACATAACCTAACATTTTCTCGTTGTCAACAAATCTAACCTAAAATATAAACAATACTTTCAAACCTTCTTTAATCAGGTTCCAAAGCGAAAATGGAAGACAATAGTAAAGTAACACTATCCAAATCAATTTTGGATATGAAATTCATGAAAAGAACCAAAGAACGAGTTCTAAAAGAAGTCGACGATGCTGAAGGGAAAGCAATGTACTCGAACGAAATTACAGATGAAATGAAAAAGGCTGGTAATATAGTTTTTGTTGATACAAGTTTATCTAATTGCAAGGATTTAATTGACGGTAGACTTTCTTTCGGTGGCATGAATCCTGAAGTGGAAAAATTAATGGCAAATGATTATGCTAAACGAGTAGAACAAATTGAGAAAAAGAAGGAAAAAGATGTTACAGATGAGGAAATGGCCAAGGGTTATTCCACTGTAGTAAATACCATCAGTAAAAAGTTTCAGAATAAGAAGAATAGGAAAGGTTTTGTCAAGCCCAGTGAAGAGGACCAGTATTGAGACTTTTTAAATTTATTATAGGTATAATATATAATTTTATAAATAAAATATTTGTCAGAAATCGTATAGGTGGTACACTTATTTAAATAAAAAAAATTGTCATAAATTATTTAAGTTTATAAAAAGAGCTTTATTTAGGTATTCCAAAAATAGATTTGATTTTTTAAAATAACGCGTTAATGTTGGGAATGTCAAGGTTAATAATAATAATTAAAAAGATTTCTTTTAATAAAACCCCACCTTGCCATATGCACTGCACTATGGAAAAAAATAAAATTTATTCGTCATTAAATAAACTATTTTAAACCAATGTATGATAAATCTTATCATATTATTATTTAAGAATAGTAATATTTATATTATTTAATGAATAAATGTTTTGTAAACAAATATTCTTCAAGTTTATTTATATAAAACTGTTCACCTTCAGATAATTTTCGCGCTGAAAAAAATGTTATCCCACAGTGCAAACCCATGCGCTTTTTTCATGTGACACTTGTGACCTTCGGAATTTTAGCTGTGTGATTCTGCCTTTCTAGATAACGAGCTTGCGTACACTGGTAAGTTTTTACTTTTCTCCAATTTTTCTAATAATATTTATTAATTTCTGTGAATTAAAGTCCAAATCATCTGCAAGATTAAACCCGAATAAAAATACTGCATTTGAGAATTTATAAACAAAATATCTCTGACGTATTTCGTCTGCGACGTTCAATACAGGTTATATAAACCGATTTATTTTTGAAAGCGGCTCTATAGAGCTATAGCAAAGTTCATACGGTTATTGTAGATTCGCTAATCGTTAAGAGAGCATTTATCAAATTCTGCCGGCACTTGTTGGAGCTCGAAAAATTGATTTTGGGCATTTTTTCATTTTAGGTCCAACTGTCGGAGAATGAAACTTTCACCAGCCAGGCTCTTCGGTTTACGCCTCACTGTTGCTCAGGTAAGAATTTTACGTTGTTGCTATCACAAATTTATAGTTCAATTATACTGGTATTCAAATTTTTCCAATAAGAGATTTTGGAAACAATCGTAAAGGCTTTATTGGGCTATTTTTTTTGGTAGGCTGTTCTGTCTAAAATTATAAAAATATTTCAAATAAAATTAAAAATGTTTTGTGGAATTTGTCTTTCTTAAAACATATTAAAAATGTTGAACATTGTTTTAAACTGTGGAAGTGACTAAAGTAGAATATGCAATTAGGGGTTGATAATCTATCTGTTACAATTTAGCCCAAAATATTTAAACAATAATTTAAGTAGTAATAGGTATTTATTTTTAATATAGGTCACTGGTTTTTGAACATTGCATTAATAATAAGAATCCAAATTGTACACAATTTTATATATCAAATTAAATAACAAGTTTAACCATTTTTGATATGGTGCGCTAAAGGTTCTGATATGGCAGATTAAAGGTAAACAATTTTTGGCAAGCTTAAGTTTCTGATATGGGGTATTAAAGTATAGTGGTTAATTTAATAATTTTTAATAAAATAAGTAAAGTATCTATTATGGTGGATTAAATGTGATAGATATATATTTATTAGATAAGGATATTCCACGATAATCAGAAACTGTTATCCCTACCGTCACAATACAATTTCTGACGGTCGGGATAAAAATTTCGATTATCGTGGAATATCCGACCCAATAAATATAAACAAACCACATTTAATTCACCATATTAAATACTTTACTTATCCATTACATTAATTAATATAAAATGTAATACTAAAACATCCATAAATTTACAAGAAAGAATAGCAATGTGTTGTAATAAAGACCTGTATAAGTAAATCATAATTTTATTTTAAAACTGTTTATTAGGTATTAAATGGAATCCATAATATTTAAATAAATAAAAAAAACCTTAAACTAAATAGAGAATATTTAAAATTAAAATTATATTTACAAATAAGTTAACTTAATTTTTTGGTAGATTGTCCTTATATCCTTATCACAAAGAAAACCAGGTTTTTTGCAATTATTAATTTATTTTATTCGAAATTGCCCCAATTTTGACCTTATCAATTAAACCTTTCTACTAATTTCTTTTTCGGTAATTTGTCTGTAATAAGAGTTTTAAAATTAAAAATGCACCTTTTTACTCATTTAAATTGAACTACCATTTGGTATTATTTTTATTTTTTTATGTGGTATAAGACACTATTAAAACTATAGGAATTACACTGGGCGTCATTTTTAAAATATGACATTAACCAAAGGATAATTAAAGGTTCATGTAAGTTATATGTACAGAAAACATTTGGCACTTCAATGGTTTTTAAAGTTCCTTTAACTTGATACTGAAAATTGTCATATATGGGTCTTTTATGGTAAAATATCCAAATATTAGCCTGAAAAGGGCCATTGCCAGACCATATCACGACAGCCTTTTGGCTAAAAATGCAATTATTAAGCCATGAAACTATGTAATTGGACATTACATAATTAGACTTATGTGTTTGCTGGGCACCTATTGTGAACTGGCAAGTTTTCAGATATGCGTTATTTATCAAGTCTATTTCTGGGTATCTATCGTATTAAATATAAAAAAAATTGTGAACATTTAACAATATCATGCTTATTAAAATCAAATTCATGTATTATATGCAAAGCCTTAAAATAAATTAAGTGGGAAAATGTTAAGTCAAATATAACTTGTTGACTAACTGCATCCAAAATTCCTGATTTATAATATTGAAATAGGAAAAAATAGATTTTTGCTGGCGCCTAGGTTTTTGTTATTTAAGTAAAATTATTATGCTTGTAATTAAAGTATATTTTTATATGTGCATTTTTTGATGACATAAGGCAAAGTGAAAATTATATTAAGTATTAACAAATTGGAAAATTATTTTGTTTTGTATGTAACAAAATACATGTTTATTTTGTTTGTTATAAAAAAAACAATGGAATTCTGCAACTTAATAGTGCATGTTTAACGGTTTATAAATTTCCAATTATTTAAAATTATTACCCGTGAATTTACGTAAAATAAAATACATGCTAAGCAAAAAAAATAAGTAAGAAATTATAGTTTTAGAAATAAAACGTTTAACCTAAAGTAATAAAGTACCTAATAAAGGAACCACAGATATTATCGCTATGATATTTTTAATTTAGCAAATTAAAATTATGTGTTTTGCAAAAATACAAATATAAGGGTCATTCCATCGTTTTGGGTGTTACATTTGTTCAACCAAAGCCTAAATTTTTATGTATTTTGAAATAACATTTTTGCAATTTAAGTGCCTTATTCTCTACGTTTTTAGTTGTTTTTATCTAAATTGTGAAATTACTGCAGTTTAGCATATAGGATAACGATTTTATAAGTCAAAAAGTGTGCGTTTCGGGTGTTTCACGATTCTGCATTGACCATTGTTACATTATTTGAAATTCAGCAAATTTTCTTAGGGAAACATTTCTAAAAAATTACAGGCCTCCAAAAGTAATATTTACTAACCATCTACCACATAATCACTGTTACAAATAACGTTTTACTATTTTTCTTATAAAATTTTACTTTGTTTTGGGTGTTACCATGGTTCTGTTTCAGGTGTTACAAGTACAAAAATTAAAGATGGAAATATAGACAAAATCGGTGTTTTATTAGTTTCTAGGTACTACAAAATAAGTTAGTAACAGATAAACATAAATAGAATGAATTCTCCTTAAATATAACTTAAGCAGCTTCGGGTGCGATTGATAAATCGGCTAAAAGGGTAAATTCATTATTATTGTCAAAAATCGGTAAAAACATCATTATTGACGAAAATCTAAGTATTCGGTATTTTGGTAGGTTCGTTGCCATTTAGGTAGAAATACCGAAATTTCTGTAGGTTCGACAACACCATCGTAAAAGCTTCGTAAGCTTTAAAAGAGGTGTGACCGCTTTTCCGATGGCGGCACTAGTGGGCCGCCGAAAGAGTCTTAAAAATAATACTTATTGCATTCTTCAAGCAATATATTGCCCACGCATATATCGACATAAACCGAAACGTTTCGGGTGTTTTTAATCAAGAAAAACACATATCAAGTTAGTCTCATGCTCAGATATTATAGTATTTTAAATCATTACCACCATAACCTTAATTTTACTAAATATTATTACACTAATTAATCTGTAAGGTATAAAGGTAATAAAACAATTACATGATTTTTCGTTTCGGGTGTTACAGTGGCAAAGTAAGAAGAAAACACACTTGTAACGTGATAATTATCAATTTTTTCGGGACTGTGACGCAATCCACCAATACTACGATAAATAATCTGAAATCACAACGTGGCAAAACGGTTGACAGGTTTTTTTCGTATTTCCAATAGTTAGAGGCAGAATGGTCATTCAGCTAGTTCACTTGAGTACAGATTTTGAAGAAAAATTAACTTACGCGTTTCTTCTAGTTTTTTTTGTCGCACATTATAATTTGGAATGTTTTCTTTCAAAATTCATCAGATTTAATGCGAAAAGAACATATTTATTTTTTCACCCTTGTAGTATTGTTTGTCATAGAATGACCCATAAGAAGTAAATATTTGGAATTAACTAAATAAAAAATATCAGTTTGGCTTAAAAATTAAATCTAATTTTTAATTAAGCGAATTAAAAATGTGTGTTTAACAAAAAAAGAAGAATATAACATATTTAAAATTCACTAAATTAAAAATATCAGTTTGGCATCAAAATTAAATCTAATCTGCTATGATATTATTAATTTGCAGAATAAAAATTCGTACCTATGTGCTATTTTTTATCTAATTGAAAATATCACATAAAAATAAATCCTAAATAAAAAATAAAACAGCGCCACATAGATAGTGATAGTCACTGATAATCATATTGTTCTTAAATGATGTAATTATCTAGACGTAAAAACATTTTTGAACTTAAGTATGCATACAGCATACCTTTTAGAATAAATTTTGATCCATGTTGCCAAATAATTTTAGTTCATTAGCCATTGAAAATGTATCCAAATTTAGAGCCTATTACACAACTAAAAATGTCTAGAATTTTACCTAAGCCAACTCAAAAAGGTTTTGTGAATAAAATCTTATTTCAACGATATTTTTTTTTTTAGAATGTACAAGTGAGCCGCACCAAATCCGATAGGTTTGTTATGCCTACTGCTGTCCTGCTAGCTGGTGTAGGTTTGGGAATGTCGTCGTTCAGCTTGAAGCAAATGCTGTCAAAACCAAAACATACATGAAATAATGGCCAAACTTTATCTGCACACGTCCGTATGAAAAAACCTAATTTATTATTTGTGATATAGGATTTTTGTTTGGTTTCTTTTTGTGAAAAGAAATCTGTTCATCGTATTAAATACAAACTAGCACATAGTCAAAATGTGTAAGTTTAAGCTAATACCTATCTACTACTTTAAAAGATACTATTTTAAATTCATATTTACTATAAATTCTGTATGGGTCTTACCTAGCTAATATTAAGTTATGTTTTTTTAGTATATCTGCGTATTATTTTAAAATCCTTAATTTAACGTAAGAAGTTTAACCTACTAACAATATTTATTAAATACAATACATACAAGGACTGATTTTGTTAAAAAAAAATAATAAAATCGAAAATATTTAAATTAGGAAAAAGTTTCGATAGGAAGAATACAGCGGTTCTCAAAAGATTCAAATGTTACAAACAGTTTTGCAGAGGCATGCGCTAAGCACGGGTTTTTTACAAGGGCACGGTTGTTTTATATCAGGTTATTTATTATGTGTTATATAACTTGTACTTAACAACTATTTAAAATATGCCGGACTGAGCTGTAGCAGACAGCAGAAATATGAACAGAAACTCCAACCTAACCTAACATTAAATATTTTCGATTAAAAATAAAGATCTGGCAGCACAGTGGATGAATGCATGCAAGAGAAAGATTAAAATGAAAATAAAAAACGGTAAGTAAAGGCAATTTTTGGTGTACCCAATTTTCTGTTAGTTACTTATAGTAACTTTTCACCCTAACCACATATTTTTTACAACTTGCATTAGTTCTTACAATAAAAATTAAAAGTGTCGCAAGTAAAAAAATCAGTTTTGAGATTTTTTTACTTAACACTTTAAGCGGGCGTGCGTTATTATTATTACCTGTATAAATGCATGTTTATAATTTTTTCACATTAAAAAATGTAAAATTCGGTCTGGCGTAAGTTAAGTTAATTCAATTAAATAAAAAATATTTTGAAAAATAATAATAGGAAGGTAGGAAATTAATTGACGCGTTTCTCGGAAAAACATCATTAGTCCAAAATTAACATATTTGGGAAAATGAAAAAAACTCTCCGACATTCCCATTTTTGACCAAAGTACTTTATTGACCTATTTACTACATGTAAAAAAATGTAAGATAATTCGTCCAGAATTCCTCATGTTTGTTTTTTCAAACGAATATGAAAAAAACACAAAAAATACATGAACATGTGAGGTTTTTAGAAGAAAAAAACGAACAATTCTCCTTACTACAAACACTACAAACAAAATATTAACTCTGAGTAACAAAATAAAATGAAACAACTAAAAACTGTATTACTGCCACACTCAGTCTTCGCATCCACTGCTGTTATCATCGTTGTCGACCGTGTTATCAGGACTGTCAGGTGCTTTGGTCTTCTGGTCTTTTATCAAGTTATCATAAAATTTTCTATTGCTGTGGTCATGTAAAAGAGGTAGAAGCTTTTCTAGAGTGTCCAAAAATGTCACATGTTATGAACATGTGACTTTCTTAGACGAAACAGTGGACTTGTGATGTTTTTAGAAGAACAAGCTAAATTTCATATTTAATTATTATGGAACCTATGACATTTTTACGAGAAACACTTATTTGTATACGTATATATGGAGGTTAGAAAACAGTTGGTGAAAATATCTAAATTTCGACGATATTGGACTAATGATGTATTTCCGAGAAACGCCCCAATTGTTGCTTAAAATATGTTACATTAGTATTAAAAGCGCTTGCTGCCAATTTAACTTTCTCTTAACATTTGTTACACTTAATAATTAAATTATTATAATTTAACCCAGGCCGTCCCTATATAGGTATTATATAAATTTTCGAATATAACGTGAATTTGCAGTGCAAATAACATTCCAACCCAGTCGGTTTCATATAGATGCGAAATACGAATATTCGCATTTCGCAACTTCTATTTCATATAGATGCGAAATATTTTATAAAATATTTCGCATCTATATGGGGGGCTTTACCCGACCTTTTGTTTCGCACATGACGTCACACGGTGAGAGATAGAAATGCGCATTTTACATGTAAAACTTACTTTTTTTTTAAATTACCAGGAAAAACGATTTTTAATTTTGACAAGATTTCAATTTTTTTCAAACTATTTAAGAACCTCTGTTTTTTTTTCAAATTTTTAAATGCCATTTTAATAGACTTGTAATTACGCAACTTTTGTTCAATTTAACCTCTTTTTGAATATTTTGCATTTTTAACGAGTATTATAACTCAAATATTGAATTTTTCGAATGGAAAAAAATTAAATCGGTTATTAGTCGAAAAATATTTAAAAGTATACTATATATATATATATATATATAAGTATATATACCCAATGAATTGCAAAAATAGGAATTGGACTATTTTTTATAAGAAAAAAATGCATAAAACTTGGCAACCGTGTTGAACTATTGAGGCCCCCCCACAATTGATCCAGCTCATTTTTCCCTCTAGACTTAAGTGCTTCCCACCCTAATTATTTAACTTCAAAAATTGTACAATTTTTTTTACCATAACTTTTTTATTTGGCGTGATGTATAAAAAAAATCGTACAATTCATTATATTTTGTAAGAGAAATTAAAGATATTTAAAAAAACCCGAACGGTTTAAAAGCCCTAAATGTAGTGAAAAAAACCCTGATCTTGCAACACTGCTTGGCAATCCCAATAGTGACCTAAATAAAAAAAAGTATTAAACAATTACTAGAAATAACCTTCTTTTGTCTGGATTCATGTAAACACGATATATCAGGTCAAAACAAAAACCATAACAATAAAAAGAATAATAACTTTATTTGTTCTAAAACAAAACGCACAAATTTCTTCAATCGACGCTTTTTATAGTAAGTAATGCAATTGACCCAACACGATGATGACAATCGACGCAATGGTGACGAAAAAGCACAAATACTTTCCATCGATGGGCATGTAGAACAGCTGAGCGTCTATCTTGAGGCTCGAGGTGTAAATTAGTACCGAGTCCAGCTCGCAAGAGGGCGTATCTTGATGCACAAAAGGCCTAATTCTGACCTCTTGGCCTGCTGCTTTTATCATGCTGCACGCATTTGTTAATCTCGCGGCCTGAAAATATTTTACAGTATATAATGTATCAAGTTATAAATGCCGTTTTAGTTACGAGTGTCAAGAGAAGTTTATAAAACGAGTTGCATACTTTATCTACGACGAACACAAAAAAGTTTATTTATTAAACATTTGACATCTTTCAACTTTAAACGTATTTATCTACTCCTACATTGACGAGCTGTAACTTTATGGCGTTTTATTGACGGGCTGAAGTTAACAACAGTGGCTTTTCGACATTTTACGTCACAGGCTGAAGTTATCTTTATTATAAATTGGGAAAAAGTGAGGTTAAATTCGGGTGACAGTTGACAGATGTCAAAATTTTAACAAATAAAATTGGCTTTAAATTCTGTTTTGTGTTCGTCGTAGATAAAGTATAGTATGCAACTCGTTTATAAACTTCTCTAGACACTCGTTTTTATTAAACACTCGCTCGCAAGCTTCGCTCGTGCTTAATTAAACTCGTAACTAAAATGGCGTTTATAAAACTTGAGACATAATATACTATTTTACAACCCTTACTTTTCCCTAATTTATAATAAGCTAACTTCAGCCCGTGACTAAAATGCCCAAAAGCCACTATTGCTAACTTCAGCCCGTGACTAAAACGCCATGAAGTAGCAGCTCGTCAATGTAGGAGTAAATGAAAAAATAAAAATCTTACTTGAACAAATGGTGCCATAGAAATTAAAATCCATAATCCAACGTTTAAAATACTTAGTCCAAAAATTGGAAGAGTTTCGCTGTCAATATGATCAAAATTAAAAAGCCATAGGAGTCCAGACACGGAATATGTTAGGTTTATTATTGTGAACAAACATACACCTGGCGCTATCAAGGTGTTGAAGTATTTTAACATCTTCTTAAAGTCTTCTATATCCTAAAAAAAACAATTTAAAGCATTTGATTCTGTTATATTTTCCAAAATATGTTTTTTATTCATATTTTGTCCTTTTAGTACTGACAGTGGAAAAATAAGGCGGTACTATCTTAGTACAACTATGCTTCACACCCAAAAGCCCCGCCTTGACATTTGAATACAAATAAGTGAGGTTATTTATCTGTCAGTTAAACGCTAGCGTATCCAACAAAATAACTTACCCTCATCCATTCCAGTGGTTGTATGGGGTATTGCAGTAATTTAAGCCTCAAAAATTGCAAATAAGATGTAAGCAATTGGGCTTGCAGACAATAATTTGATATAACACTTGCCTGAATGATATCATGCCACAGGGTACAGAAAACCAAAAACCCCTTCATTAAGTAAGTAATGTAGATCGGACTGAAACAATTCTTGAAATAGTATTTTATTAAATTTTAGTTGTTATAGTTATTAAATAACTGTTATTTATTATTGTTGGATGGATACCTTTTTGCAATCCATTTAAATTCAATGTTTGCAACACCCATCATGGTATTCACTGAGATTAGAGAAAGTGCCATCCACACCATACTTATGAAAACAAAGTACCATAAAGTCCTTACCAATTTTTTTTGGTTTAAAAATCCGTTCGGCAGATTTGCCGAAGATATAAACACCTAAAAATATAATATAATATTCGAGAATTATGGTACCACGAATATAAAAATACAAAATTAAATGGAGCTACTTACTCTTTCCATTAAAAGTGGTAGCTGATCATCGTCGGAACTCCTAAATATAATAACAGCATTCAAATACCCAAAAAGATGCAAAGCCCCAGGTATAATAAAAGTAAACAATAAGGAACCATCGCAAGTTTTTTCGTAAATTTCTTTCTTACCCAAATTTATTAAATGCTGGCTTTCAGGGTTGCCAGAGTGGATTGGTAGTTTTTGACAAAAGCCTCTATCCCTTCTAAAACATGCCATATATTGTAGTACATAACCGCACAGCATTAACAGCACCACAAGGGTGGTGTAAGTAAAATTGAAAAAAGACAAACAAAACGTGGTTTCTTGGTGGTCGTAGGCGAAAGGACGAAGCCCCATGTAACTCAACAACCGTAGGTAAGGGTTCAATATTTTCTTTTTGCAATAATTTAACACTGTGGTGATACTCAGGTGGGTTGAATTTTCCGGGTGGATTATATTCGTTAGAATTTCTTGGTCCTAAAAGAAACAACAAAGTAAATGCATTTATAAATACGGGTATTTAGTTATCTTGTTTACCAAAATACTTTGAAAGAATGCAACACAAGCAGTAATTTTTTAATATTAATAATCATAATATACATATTAAACTTAAACCCACACAAAGGCATTTAGATTAATAATAAAAATTAAGTGTGTTCAAGTCACTACATAAAGTTCTTGAATCTTTAAAGGTTTAAAAGGGGTACTTACTGTGTCTGAATCCATTTTTTCATCCCTGTATGATACACAATCGTCCTGTATATCATTATTTTTTCGGGGATCTAAAATTTGAAAACAAGATTTTAACATTTGGACTGATATTCTAAAATTTAATAATACTTACTTAAAAACGGATATACTTGAAGTGAAATATTTTTTTATCCTTCATAAAAACAAGCAGAAATAAGCCACATTTACTGATAACCTTTATTAATTAATTGTTATGATTATTGGCAATGTATGTAAATAGGATTTGCATTATTTATTTTGTGGATATTAATAATTAGATTAATGGTCTTTTGAACTGGGTTGTGGACTTCTTTGCCAGCACAATGCTAAACAACAATGTAAGTTTTAAGAACATAATAAGCCATAGATAAAGAAGGTGATAAAAGCATTGGATTTATTGCTTTTTGTCTAGTATTTAAATTTGTCAAAGGTCAAAGACTATGGATTTTTTATTGGGAAATAATTTTATTACCTAATTAAAACTGATAGGTTTCACATGCTGATAAAAATAAAACAAATCTCTTGCTTAACAATATATTACAAATAACTTATTTTCTTTTACCAAAAGACCGATGTTTAGATTTAATACCATGTGTGGGCCTGACAAGTCGTTTCCTTTCTTCTCTGTGCCATTTATTCTTCTCATCCATCTGCCTGTCTCTTTTTTTTCTCGTTGAAAACGTCATTTCTCTGCTACCCACTGAACCCAGTAATCTGACAGTGGAATCTTCCGATTCCAATCTTTCGCCTAGTGTGGCCCTGTTTGATTTCTTCTTCATGTTATTAACCCCCTTGAATTCTTCCCCTTGCCTCAATTCGAACATTTGCGGTTGTTTTAGTTGTTTTTCTTCCTCCTCCCTAGCTTCTCTTTTTTCTTTGAGTTCTTTGAGCCAGTGCTCCCTTTGTATTATTTTGTGCTGTTTTTTCACGTCTTTAGTCCACGTGTGCTCATCGTCACTGCTCTCGTCATCTCTGGAATCGTCTGAAGATTCATCTGAGCTGTTTTTACCCTCCAATTCTTCATCCATTGGTTCAAATTCTTGGGCAATCTTCTTGATTTCCTTCTTCTTGGATTTATCCAGTCTGGACAAAACCGGGTTAAGCAAGCGATACTCGTCCGTATTTTTGTCGACTTCAAAGTCGGGATTTTCGAAGAGCGATTTAAATCTGTTATCTGTAAGCAGTGAAGTTGCCTCTGCTTTCTTCTTTTTATTGCTTTGATCCTCGATGAGTTTAAGAGCCAGATCTTTATTAACCTTGGGTAACTTGTTGACTTGCACTCTGTTGACTCTGTCTTTCTCGATGGTCTCCCTGATTTTCTTCTTGCGGTATTCTTCGAACTCGAACGGATTTGCAACCGACTTGGCTTTTTTGTACAACCTGACGTCCATGAAGTAGCCGTGCATGTACGCTCTGAGCATGTTTGTGCCGATAAGGTGCTCCAGACTCAAGTTCTCCAATTCTTGTTTGGTGACGAATTTGTAGTCGTCGTAGACGATTTCGGCGTTCGACTCTTCGAGTTCTTCGGTCAGGGAGTCCAAGAAACTGGCCCATTTGGGTGCAGGGCCCAGGCTTGGTATGTAGTAGGTCTGCATTTTCGTGTTTTCGTTCGCCAAAAAGAACAAACCTGTGTTTGGTACTGTGCATAAGTTGTTGAATTCCGTTGATGCTTCAATTGAGGTGTACAGTTTTCCCTGTAAAATTGGACATTTTTATCAGATAGTTGATATTTAATTAACTTGATTAGTGCAAAAATTTAGTAGGTATTTCTTAAAGTAAATTTTAAAAGTTTTAGCAATAAAACAAGTAAAAAAGTCAGTGGTTGGTATGCGTATTTCCTAATACAATTTTATTCAGAGTATATAGTAAACCTATTATGTATCAAGTTTGATAAACGCCATTTTAGTCACGAATTTAATTTAGGTACGAGCGAACTTGCGGGCGAGTTGCAAACTATACTTAATACTTAAAATAACTTCAAAGTATGATTATGTTAAGAATAGCTATTTGTGTATTAAGAGCGCAAAGTGATACATTGCCGCTCTGAGCGAGAACTTTGACGCGTAGCGGAGCTCGGCTATCTCGCGAGAGCGGCAATATCACTTTGCGCTCGCATTACACACAGGATTTTTTCTACAACCGATGTTTCTATAAGAATGTTTGGTTAAAATTAATAATTATTGATAACCTTAAATTTGAAGTTTGTATCAAAAGTGGCAAATACACTATACTAAACGTTTCTTTCTTATGGTTTCCATGGTAACTAAGCGAGCGACAAAGTAACTTTGTCGTTCGGCGAGCGACAAAGTAAAAAAAACGCTCGCTCCTCGGAAAAGTGCAACTTTGCGCCTTCTGTTGGAAGCGCAAATTTGTACTTTTCGCTTGGTTGTAGAAAAAATATTTTGATTTAGTTTATTACTATAATTGCTAAATATTATCACTTTCTAACATGGGAATCTACCGGCGTTAAAATCTTAAAGTTTTCTGTGTAAATCAAAATTTATCCCTTGAAAATAGACTAACAATTTATATAAGCAGTATTTCACAGTAAAAGAGAAGAGAATGTTTTATGAGAACTGTACGCAAAATTTTTAACGCTCTATCAGTTAAATCTAGTTAACTGCACTACTACGGCGAAATCAAACGTTCATATAATCTTAACAAATATTGGCGTTAAAAAATTATTTAATACTTTTGTATTGAGATAATAAAATAATTTTTACATTTAGTATTATTTTACAAGAAAGGCACTTCATTTTAACGATTGTATGACATTTGACAACTGTCAACTAACTTCAGCCCGTGACTTAAAACCTGTTGCTAACTTCAGCCCGTGACTAAAGCGCCATAAAGCCACAGCTTGTCAATGTGTATTTAAAATGTCACTTAGTGTCATGGAAACATGTACGATAATGGGGGTTTTAAAGATGGGAGTAGAAAACTTTTTTAAAACAAGTAAAAATAAGTAGTATGTGTATTTCTTTAAGAAATTTTCTTAATACAATTTGATTTAGGTTATTTTTTTTGAAAACGTTCAGTGTGTAAAAAAATGTAAAGTATATTATGCAACTAGTTTTATAAACGTCAGCGGAGCGAGTTTTTAATAAGAGAGTGATCTTAAGAAGTTTATAAAACGATTTTTATAGTCATTTTTTTAATATTTTGTCTGAAATCTGACAGCTGTCAAACAGTTTTAACCTTACTTTTTACCTTTTTACATTACATATGTCAGACGGGTTTAACCTTATTTTTTCCCAATCTGATATTTGTTGTAACATAATGTCTAGAGTCCCGTCAGACGGGTCTCCATTGCGCTCCCGTTAAAACTTTGTGACGTCACACACTGTAAATAAGGTAAGTGCGGGTAATAAGGCCCACCTAACGCATTATATTAAAAAAACAAAGAAAACGTGCACATTTTTTAATTTTTTTTATTTCATAAACATATATTAACTTTAAACTATATACTGTAACATTTATAAACTCAAATAAAATATACAAAAAGAAAAATTCTTAGGTTTTTAAAAAACTTGTTAATGGGCCTTATTTCATGCTCAACAGATAATAAAGCCCATCCATTCAGGGTGCACATTTGGGACAAATAAACACATCTTCATCCTCAGGCGTCAGTCCGACACATTCTTCAGGAACCCAGGTGAGGCACATGGCACACTGACGCATATCAGCCTTAAAATCCAGTTCACAAAGCTTGCAGAACCAATCTTGCTCGGGGTTGGCGTCTGCGCTTTCTGTCGAGGTCGATGGTTCTACAGTGGCCTTCGTTTGACTGATCTTCGCTTTCTTCTTGCATTTTGTTGCCGAGCCGCTGGCCTTTTGGGGTTTCTTCCCAGTTTCATTATTTGGTGGGCCTTATTGCCTGCTTTGTAATGCTCCTTGTTTTAAGGATATAACTCAGACATGCATAGTACAAAACCAATCATTTTCTAGGAAAACATTGGTAATATGTGTATTGATACATACCTGTAATGGCGCAGCAATTGAATAAACGCTTTTTAGGCACAGCTCTAGGAAAATACCACAATTTTTATAATTTCACGAAAGAAACTTGTTGTCGAAACACTTGTTGTATTTACTATCAGCAAACGACATCTTATTAAGGCGGAACTCTATCGAATATCAAATATTACCTAGTAAAATCATAAGATGGCAGCCCCAGTATTATAATTTAAAAAATGAAGGTAAAATGGCTGCCGGGCCTTATTACCTGCTGGGCCTTATTACCCGCACTTACCTTAGGTATAGTAAATTTAAAAGTAAACTACGTACACGTCATCAATAAAACAAAAATTTTACGCATTGGTACCAACACTAAATGACTAAATCGAAGTCTGTAATTGAATATTTAAATGCATTTTAACCAAATTAAGTTGGCAACAATTGTGATGTTGTCATGTTTACATTCAAATTTTTCATATTTAAATGACACATAAAAAAGAATTTGACGTTTTAGAATTTCGAAGCTGTCAGTTGTGTTTTGGAATATTTCGTTTAATTCGTGTATTATTTCGTTTATTTTGTTTGTTGTTTGTGTTATTTTATATCGTTTAAGTTTTCATTGCCGTTTTTGTGTTTGTTATATATCGTTTTTTTGGGTTTCCTATATTTAAAATGCCGAAGCATTTAAATAGTCGGAGTCAAGAGTTGGTGTCATCCTTAATACGCTATTTTGAGGCAGAACGGGATAATAATGGACCTTTGTTACCTTTAACAGCTGTTAGAGAGGTAAATAGGATTATTATTAATTATATATTAGAATATTTAACAAAATATATGTTGGATACATGAAATAATAATATATATACCAGAGACTGACTTTAGATGGCAAAATTTTTGGGTTTTATATCAGAAAATGTCTTTAAAAATGGCTAAAAACATACTTTTGGCGGTGCATCATATAGGTTATAAAAACTCAGACTTTTGACATTTTGGTATTATTCATGTAAACGCCATCTATCGCCCTGTAGTTGCACTACCACTTTCCCTTGATGCAAGGATTTTAGCATCACATTGACAACCGTGCCCGATCAGCTGATTGATGACGTGTACGTAGTTTACTTTTAAATTTACTATATTATTTTTCAAGCGATAGAATTATTACAATAAGCTCGGTAGCTCGATGGAAGGGCGCCTGCTTTGCATGCGGGAGGTACGGGGTTCGATCCTTCGCGCCTCTACAACTTTTTTAATTTTTTTTTAAAGAATTTATATACCGAAATAATACAATGTGGCATTAAAAGCATTTATATTTAATTTTACATTAATATTTTAATTTATTTACCTTTCCTCATAATCATTTTGCTAGTTATATAATATAAAATGTAATTAAATGAATATTCCTTCGTTGAAAAATTTTTACTCAATGGGGCGGGGGGGGGGCCAATGGGGCGGGGTCGGTTGGGTTGGGTTGTTGGGTTTGGGTTGGTTTTGAAGCGGGCGGACTCGGGACGTTGGTTAAGGAAGATCTGCTTCCCGTCCTAAGATTGCGTCATTTGATGAAGTCACTCTGTTAACGGGAGCGCAATAGAGAACCGTCTGACGGGACTCTAGACGCGGCGTATTTGTAAAACGATTTTAACCTCACTTTTCCGCACTAGTGCATTAACCAACTTAATACACTAGTGTATTAAAACATTAATATGAATTATTAATAATAAATTGTTTTTTATCCTAGTTTTATCTTATATATTATCCTTGTTTATAAATATATCTTAAAATATAAAAATAACAAAAATAAAGTTCAATTTTTGAATCTAAAAACTACTTGTCCCCAATGGAATTTAGAGTATATGCAAACTGTAGTAAATTTTTTTATAACAGAGATATCTTATATCTTATAATTGAAAACCTCATGGAAAAAAATATTAAAAAAAAGTTTTACACTATCACAAAAATTAGATTTTATTTTTTTCTAGAAAAACTATTTAAAAATAATTAAAAACCGATTTTTAAGATTAATAAATATATATATATATATTAGACTGGTTCAAAAAAATCGAATATTTTTTTTTCTTCAAAGCCCGCATTAAAATATCTTCCTAGTAGTAAAAAACGAAGCCTGTGAAAATTGTAGCTCTTAATATTAATATTTAGAGGTCGCTCATCGTGAATTTCTATTTTACGTTTAAATAACACAGGAATTCTTTTTTCTTAACTTTGAAATTTTATAACTCGTTTTTGAGTGAACATATTGGAATGAAAATTGAACGTTCTACAAAAAATGTCTCTTATATTTTTTTCGTAAATTCACTCCTTTAATAGTTATTCAAGGTTAAAATTATTCCAATATGTCCACTCAAAAAAAAGTTATAAAATTTAAAAAAATTCCTGTGTTATTTGAACGTTACATTTATTATATGTCTAATTTCAACCTTGAATAACTATTAAAGGAGTGAATTTACGAAAAAATTATAAGAGACATTTTTTGTAGAACGTTCAATTTTCTTCAAAAATATATAGAGTTCATTCCAATATGTTCACTCAAAAACGAGTTATAAAATTTCAAAGTTAAGAAAAAAGAATTCCTGTGTTATTTAAACGTAAAATAGAAATTCACGATGAGCGACCTCTAAATATTAATATTAAGAGCTACAATTTTCACAGGCTTCTTTTTTCACTACTAGGAAGATATTTCAATGCGGGCTTTGAAGAAAAAAAAATATTCGATTTTTTTGAACCAGTCTAATATATATATAAAAGATTTAGAATTTTTAATTTAAAAATATGTACATAATACTTACATTATTTGTGTCCCATATCTTCAAAACTGACTTATCCAAAGAAAATATCAAGTCTTGTTGACAATGAAACTCCACATCCTTAATAGGATGCCCGTACATGTGATCCTTAACATAAAAAGGTTTATTTGATCTGATATCATACAATAAAATCTGTCCAGTTTCAGTACCCACAGCTAAATTTAAACCACCATTAAACTTTAAAGCTGACACTGAAGGAAAACCTTCCAACCTAAAAATATGTAATAAATAAACTAATTTACAGTGCACAAAAAATCCATACTCTTTATTTTCATTTACACAGCTAAATGCACAATCCAACGATCCAACCATTTCTTTACTGCGGGGATCCCAGGCGTCCACCCTGCCCTCTTGTGTACCACATACCAACAAATTGTGAACAGGATTAATTGCACACTTGTTTATACCTGAAGCTTTACTACTGTAAGGTGTCATAAATTGCCCCCGTTCCAAATTCAATCTGTATATTTCTGAAGAGGCACCAACCACAAACAAATCACAGGAAGGATAGTGATACTTCATGTCCCTACCAAATTTTGGTATTCTTAATCTATAGTAGCGGCCATGAGCCGCATGAAACTCAATGTATCTATCACATTGCAGAAATACCAACTAAAAATTTAAAGCAAAAAATAATAATTGAGTTTTGGCTATATATATGGATTTCACTACTACTTACTTTGCTGTAATCGTCGCTTAGTATTTCAAACGTAACAGCTTCAGAGTCAAAACAACGCTCAAATTTTAATGACAACTGATTTACATCAAAACATTTAACCCTGGGCTTGTATATTCCTGTAGCTAACACATACTGTCCATCTTTTGATACTCTTATCGTGTTACTAAGACCAGGCATATCAAAATCCTGTATAAGCTCGATTCTCCGCCTAATATCAACATTTTTCTTCAATAGCGTTCGCCTTTTTTTCTCTGACAGCCACTAAAACAGCAATTAAGAGATTTTAGATGATTTTTCGTTTTAACTTTAGTCAATTATTACCTCGGGCAATGATTTTCCTGCACTTAAATTGTATATTTTTACATTATTTGGGTCGGAGACCTGCATTTTGACAGCGTGTGTCCAAATATAAAAGTAAGGTTAGGTTTATCTCTGTTTTAAGGTTAGACAAACCAATGTTTCCAACTGTAGCATAATAAATTACCCTAAGAGGTCTTAAAAAAAAAATGTTTGATGATTTAAGATGCCTTAAATCTTTTAATTGTACACAAATATTTTAATTGTTTACAAATTAACGTAAAGGTTTCATTTTGAATTAGTATTTAGCAAAACTGGTCTATATTTTTCTATACTTTTTATGTTTTTGGTTGAATTTGACATTCGCGTGACATGCGCATTCATTTTTAAATTCAAGTTGTCATCGTCGCCATTTGTCAGATTTATTTGTTAAAAATGCCGAGTCAAGAGGTGACAACAACTAAAGTGGTGGTTCACCCATTAGTTTTATTGAGTGTCGTGGACCATTTTAATCGTATGGGCAAAATTGGCAACCAAAAACGTGTGGTTGGTGTTCTTTTAGGTTGCTGGCGGGCTAAAGGTGTTCTAGATGTTTCAAACAGTTTTGCAGGTTAGTAATCTTTGTTTTCTCAGGTATATTCTATTGCCACAATGTTAAACACAACATTAATCCATTCTACATAACTAGAATAATTAAAAATGCATATAAATCTAGATATTTACATGTTTGTTTTGTTCTTGTAGTTCCTTTTGATGAAGATGACAAAGATAAGTCGGTGTGGTTTCTGGACCACGATTACCTAGAAAACATGTATGGAATGTTCAAAAAGGTAAACGCACGTGAACGGGTAGTCGGTTGGTATCACACAGGGCCAAAATTGAACCAGAATGACATTCAAATAAACGAACTGATCAGAAGGTATTGTCCAAATTCGGTATTAGTAATTATTGATGCGAAACCTAAGGATCTCGGTCTTCCCACTGAAGCCTACCAGGCTGTAGAAGAGGTACACGATGATGGTTCACCAACATCGAAGACTTTTGAGCATGTTCCTAGCGAAATTGGGGCAGAAGAGGCTGAAGAAGTTGGTGTTGAGCATTTGCTAAGAGATATTAAGGATACAACAGTGGGTACATTGTCTCAAAGAATCACGAATCAATTGTTGGGGGTGAAGGGGCTGCATTGTCAGCTGAGAGAAATTAGAGACTATCTCATACAAGTTAGTGAAGAAAAGTTGCCTATTAATCATCAGATTATCTATCAGCTGCAAGATATCTTCAATCTTTTGCCTGATATTAATCAGGAGAACTTTAATAAAGCATTTTATGTTAAAAACAACGATCAGATGTTGGTTGTGTATTTGGCAGCAATGGTGAGATCTATTGTAGCTTTACACAATCTTATTAACAATAAATTAACAAATAAAGATGCTGAAGAAGGAAAAAAAGAAGAAGCCAAAAAGGATAAAGATAGCAAAGACAAAGAAAAGGAAAAGGAGAAAGATAAGGATGCTAAGAAGGATGAAAAGAAAAAATAACTTATTAATTTTTAATTCTTTAATATAACAACTAATTTCATAATGCACTAACAGTAATGTGTTGTATAAAATATATTATTAAATTTTTTTATAAAATATTTACACCTCTATTTACAATCCTTCCTTTGCCTTAAAAGTAATAGGTATTTTCTGACAAAATAATAATACTAAGGGTAAATTAGATTTTTGGAAAATTAATGTTAAAAAGAGTATTTTCAGTAAATGTAGATTAAACTTTAGTTAACTTAAAAAAACATTGTTTTTTGTTCTTTTCAGGTTTTTTCAAACAGAATTTATTCTGTTAATAATTATTTACTTTATAGTAAATTATTATACTTTGCGGTTTTGAAAAAAAAAAACGGTTTTTACATCCCTACTCAAAAGTAAAAAAGTATACAGGGTGCACCAAGTATTCTTCTATGTATGCCAGTTAAATAAAAAAAGTTGCGTAATTACAAGAAAAAATCAGCGGTTCTCAAACAAATTAAAAACCTGCCAAAACCAAAAATCGTTATAACTTTGTTATTCCTGTAAATTAAAAAAAAAATAGTCATTTATGTCATTAGGCCAAGAAGTATTTTTGTGCTGATGCACAATTCTATTTGTTGGACAATACAAAAGCAGGGTTCCCGTTTGTCATAAAATTTTTAAATATCATAAAATTGGTTAAATTGTCCTAAAATGTCATAAAATTCACATTTTGTCATAGAAATCATAAAATTTCATTATTTTTTAACAATTTTCTCACCTTTGATCTTTTTTATAAATTGGAAATTTTGTAAAATAAAATTTAAAGCCGGTCCTGTAGAATAAAACGCAATAAAATGTTTTAAATATGGCCTTGGTTCAACCAAGTTGGTTGTTGACGTATGAACTTCATACTATGAAGGAAAAAGAAGTTTTAAATTTGAAATAAATAATGAGAAAGGTAAATTTATTTTTATACTATATTACTTTACTAAGGAAGGCACAAAGAAGGACTTGAAGAAATTGATACTATTTTGGCAAGTAAGGAAGCAGAGTTAAAAATAACAAGAATAGTATATTTTGTAACAAGTTTGGAATACAGCATATTCCGCTCGAGTGAAGAGTTTGTCACACGAGCCGAAGGCAAGTTTGACGGTTTCACGAGAGCGGAATATGCAATTCCAAACGTGTTTCAGACTATACTTTTTCTACGTTTCCAAAAAATACCATAGAAAAATAATTTAATTGGAAGAAATTGAGGTTGGATCGGTCTAAAATTTGTTAGATATTAAAAACAGAGATGTCGCCACGAGTGTTTATTCTGTCATCAGATGATAGAATATTTCATTCTGTAACACTTTACGGAATATATGTCATTCCATAGATAAAAGTGATATTAGAAGGGTCAAATTCCGTAATAGGAGTAGAAAAATATTATTTCTGAAGGAAATAAGAAATTATCGAAGTACATTAACAATAACTACATAACTACTCTTAAAAAATCTGTAATATTGGAGGCTCAAACAATGATTAACATGGGTCTTAAAAAGCAAAAAAAAATAGTACCTATAGGTATACTATTTTTTTTTTGCTTTTTTGAGACCCATGTTAATCATTGTTTGAGCCTCCAATATTTCAGATTTGTATACCTTTGTGGTTTTATTTATTTTGAGATTATAATACCTATTATAATAAAATACTAAAGTAACATATATTAAAAATATTATAGCAGAAATATTTATTTTGAGGCGAGAAAAAATATTTATTTTTATAAAATAAACCGTTAAAAAATTACATTTATTTTATTAAATAACTTTAGAAATAATAAATTCTTGTCATAAAAAGTGTCATAAAATTTGAAAAATTTGTCATAAAATCATAAAAAAAAAGTACAAAACAATGCTGGGAACCCTGCAAAAGTAGAGAAGTAGAAATTTTAGTTAAGAAAGAAAGTCGAATTTTTTTATTGGTCCAATCAAAGAATCCTGTTGCATTCAAACCTATAGGTAGTATAATACATAATTTAGGCCATTATAAAAACAAAAGATACCATATGGTAATGATAACTCAAAATATTTATTACCGCTATACCCGAAAATAGTGTGCAATACTCTACAAGCGCTTTTTGGAGACATAGGTACTAAAAATTCTAAATTGGGGCTAAAAATACTAGGACTCGACCGATAGCTGAATTTTGCCGATGCCGACGGCCATCAGAATTTTTTTACAAACCTAAAAAAGGAAAAATAAAATACCATTCTGAAAAATATATAAAATTTTAAAAAGAAACAACTTAATATTTGTAGTCAATTAGTGTTAAGTTTTTGTTTATTACCTATCTAAAATAGTTGGATCGGCATATATTTTCGCCGATGGCCGATGCCGATTGCTGAAAATTGCAATTGCAATTGGTTAACCATCCGATGCCGATCCATCGGTCGAGTCCTAAAAAATACCTTAGACCGTCCTTGTTTGATATACTCCTAAATAAAAAAATAATACTTTTGTTTTAATTTTTAAATTATTTTATTATTTTATCTCAACCTGTTTTGGAAATAATAATAAAACACCATCTTTAGGAGAGCCTTTTTAAGAGACATAAGATGGAATCTACTTCACCTTTCAAATAAATGTTGTACCAACTCAACTCAAGCGAGATATATATAAAATGTGCTTAAACTGTTGAGTGATCGCTAAAACTTTACAAACAATGTGCTATAAGCGTCATAAATGAGAAATATTAAAGCGTGCTAACAGTTTGTATAAAATGTGGCATGCGTAAGATAGACTCCCTGATAGCACAAATTATTCTAAGAATGTTTTTTAAACCTTCCAGTGGGAATATTCTTAGGATCATGCTATATATCTTCTAGTCATGTTCTAAGAATGTTTTTTAAACCTTCCAGTGAGAATATTCTTAGGATCATGCTATATATATATATATAATATATTTCTTCTAGCCATGTTCTAAGAATGTTGTTTAAACCTTCCAGTGAGAATATTCTTAGGATCATGCTATATTTCTTGAAGAAATTTTCTTCTAAAGAACATGCTTAAAAGAAATTTCTTTTAATATAGCATAATCCTAAGTATATTCTCACTGGCTCATAGGCAGGTTCTTAAAAGGTGCAAAGTTTAGTGGTAAAAATTAATCCACTCTAAACATATGCTCAGAATGTTGAGAAAGTAATTGCTATAGAAAGTTCATTTAGGAATATTCCTGGAACATTCTGTTAAGCATATTCGGTTCAGTTAGGTAGCCATATAATAGTAAAATATACCATAATCTACGTATAAAGGTACCTATACTATAGTATTAAATACTAAGTAAAAAACACTAAATTATCCGGCTTTTATATAAAATCTTCTATCCAACTTAAATACAATGAAAAATGTTTTTTTATGAAGAACCATTTGGTTTTTTCTTTTATGAATAATTATTTTATAAGGAAATATTTTGTTTTTTTATATTTTATTTTTTGTTAAAAATAAATATTTATTAATTTGTATACCGATTTTTTATATCTGAATTAACATTTTTATGTAAGTATAATAATCTTCAACTTCAATCTAATCTGACTTATCCCACAAAATTTTCCAATTTTACTTTTTATGAAATAATGTCATACAACTTATGGTTTAGAGGTCAAATTGTTTATTTAATATTTTTAAATAAATATATATTAATATATATAACGCTAAATTTTTTAAGGGGACGACAAATACATTTCACTGTCATATTATGACAGTGAGGCCTATTTGTCGCCTCCTGAAGAATTTTACGAATGTAGAATCCAACATATTAGAACGTGGGTATCTGACATATTTGGAAATATTCTCAAAAGCTTCCTAGAAGCTCCATAAGAAACCTTCTAAGAACTTTCCAAAAACGTATTCTTAAAATGTTCTTAGAATGCTTTTTAGGAAGGTTTTAAGAAGCTTTTAAGAATCTAATTGCATCATTAAAAGGGTATCTATTGAATGTTTTAAAAGTCCCTAAGAACATTTTTAGCAATAAGGGAAGGTTCTAAGAATATTCCATTATTTCGGGTCATATCTTCTTAGAAGATTCTTAGAATCAAATTTTGCTATCAGGGCTTAAGCTTTGCAAAATATCTTTAAACAATGTACTAACACTGTGCAAACAATGTGCTAAAATATAATGTAATATAAGCGTGACATATGACAAATAAAAAGCGTGATGTCAATGTACATAAAGAGTGAAAAAACTTAATTATTTCAAAAAGTGTGAAATTACCACAAAGTAGCGTGTATGCACGTTGTTATAAAGACTTGCACTCCAAATACACACTTATTGCACATGTGCATTAATCTGGCGAAAATAAAGCGTGCATGAAAAGTGCACTTTTCATGCACGCTTTATTTTCGCCAGATTAATCTTCGAATTTGAACCCTCGACTCAAGTAGAGAGCATACCATATTCATTTTTAGATAGCCCAAATACCTACACGTAAGGCAGAATGAATAACATTCATCAGCACAAGATTTGAACGCTTGACTCAGGTGTAGAAATCAGAACATACCTCAACTTTGACTGCAAATACTTCAGGGAAGTATTGAGAAACTTGACCCATTGAGAAGTATTCAGCACCTTGAATTTCCTATATCAAATTCCTATTCATCACAAAATATTCAAAGACTACGAAGGTGAAGACGTTCACGTAAGATAGAATAAATAATACTTATTCATCAGCACGAGATTTGAACACTTGACTCAGGTATAGAAATCAGAACATACCTCAACTTTGACTGTGAATACTTTAGAGAGGTATTGAGAAACTTAATCTATTGAGAAGTATTTAGCACCTTAAATTACCTATACCAGATTTCTATTCATCATAAAATATTCAATGATTATGAAGATAAAAACATCCACAAAGTATAAGAGCTGCTAGCAGCAAAGTATTCGGACACATAAGCTGCGAATATAAATGAATAGAACCATATTTAGGTCCATTAAACTTGAATACGGCCAATATTTTTTCATTTGCAGCGCTATGTGTATACAAAATGTGGTTACTTCGTGCATCTTGTATAACAATATACCGTGTTGAAAATTCTGTAATTTCCTACATGCATCAAGTAAGTGAGAGACGATTGTATTTCCCACCATAGCTTGACACTGTCGAATTTCCGACACTGTATAACCCTAAACTTGCCATACGAAAAGTGTTGTTCTACTAATTAAAAGTAAACATGCATTAGTAGAACAACACTTTTTGTATGACAAGTTTAGGGTCCTAGACCACATGGTTTGGTCTAGGTTTAGGGTTATACCGTGTCGGAAATTCGACAGTGTCAAGCTATGGTTACATACAGTTTTAACAGTAAAAACTGAACCACCTTAAATAAATGAATACCAGCAACCACTATATGAAAAATCCAAAATATATTTTTACTAAAATTAAACATAAATTTTGTGCATTTATCTGACTCATTGGTCCCTTCTTTATAACAAACCTAAATAAATCTACTAACAGCAAAAACTAAAATACATATCACTTTATCCATAAAAACTAAATTACCAGCGTTGTTCTGGCTGTTAACTATCTTCCCAACGTACGGTTCAACGTTGGTTTTGTTGTAATTAGCAAAATACCAATTGGTTTCATCGATAGCAACGTCTTCTGTATCGGGCTGTCTATTTTTACCCTCCCTGTTATTCTTCAGAGGTTCGGCAGCCTCTGGATTTTCCTGCGTCGGTTTCAAGTAAGGCGACTGTACTTTTTGTATGCTGGGCCTACCGGATGGCTTGAACAATGGTTGCTGGCCATCAGGAACTAGCAGGGCTGATAGAGGAGATCCTTCAAATTTTTTCGTAGTAGGCACTGCCAAAGTAGTGGTGGGGTATTGCGGTGACGGCAAAGTTATGGCAGAATTTTCGGTTGTCAGTATTTCGGACTCTATCGAGTCAAAGTCTTTGGGAAAATCGTTTGCAACTGGTTGTTGAAGTAATGTTTTTATTTCGTCTTTGGACACTTCCTCTATTTTGGCTTTATTCAGAACCTCCACTTTATCCTTTGGTGGTTCTTGAGTTATATTTTTAACACTATTAGAATCCACCTTACTAGGTAGTACCACTGGTGGTTTATTTTTAGGTAGATCTTCCCTCCTCACAAACATTGTAGTATTACTTACAAACAGAGGAGGTTTCACTGTGGACACCACCTCTTTACTCTCTTGACTCTTTAAAGTACTTGTTTCAACTTCCATGGTGACGTTGGGTTTTTGTGTTGGGCTCACCATGGGTTTAAAACCTCCAGTGCCAGGCAAAATAGGCTTAAAGCCGCCTGTTTGTATCTCAGGCTCATTGGGCATCATAGGTACAATAGGATTTAATTGCGATGCAGGCAAAGAAAATCTCTCTTTAGGTGGAGGCTCAATTCCCCTTCTACCATTTCCTGTTGGTTTGTTGACAATCGCCGTTTTTCTTTGTGCTGTAATTGTAGGTATAATCGGTGGTGGTGTTAAATTTAAGGGGGTTTGTTGTTTTTTATCGCTCATTCTTCCCAAGTTGCCTTTGAGGAGATTATTAAGGTTTAGGCTTGGTAAAGGTACCCCAAAGAATGTGAAACCGCTCGTGCTGGGCGAGTTCACCACCTCCTTGGGTATGTCTGGTTTTGTTTTGTTTTGGGGAGCTGCGTAAATTGTTGGGGTGTCACCTACAAGTATTTTTGTTAACTATGATGTCAGTATACTCATCATATAGGGTGTCACCTTTGGGGGGATGATAGTACACGCCAAAACAAGAAAGTTTTTTTTTCATTTTTGCATTAAAGGTAGTTTTTTAATAAAAAAAGAAAAGAGGCGCCTGAAATTAAAAATAATCTAATTCCAAAATAAAACTATATGAATCAATCAAAAATATATTCTATCAAAAGGGCATTTTTTGATGAACTGACACTGGAATAGAATATTCTCTAAGAAGATTTCAAATTAAAGTCTTCTACGAGTCTCTTGATATAATAATTAATCAACTCAGAGCAAGATTTATCAATATGAACAAAGTAATGAGCTATTTTACTTTTTAAATCCAGATGGTTTCGTTAAATTATCTACCCAATAAATTTTAAATCATGCCGAAAACATATTGGAAAAATACGGAAATGACTTCTCCAATAATTTATCCACGCAGTTAATAAACTTTCAAAGTGTATTTTTAAATGAAATTCGAAAAAAGAAAACAATTTATGAATTAGCCACATATTTTATATCAGAAAACAGATTTATTTTAAGCAGTCTTCCGTATATTTGTTCGTTGTTTCAACTTTTTTTTACATTACCTGTAACGTTACAGATGTACATATGTAGCAGATATCTGCTTCTGCCGAAAGAACATAATCAAAGTTGAAGTTAATATTTACGTAGGTAGTACAATGTGCTTTGGGTGTGATAAGTATTGTACATGAACGTGCGGGTAAACTTGATTTAGAACTGTTGGTCGATATATTTTTAAAACAAAAACATCGCCGTTTTGGCAATTTAACAGTACTTCCTTAAACTTTCTATTTCCCGATCTATCCAGTAATAGCTTCACTAGCACCAGACAGATTTTGCGATGGTAATATTTTATACTTAAGGCAATTAGTAAATTACTGTATTTGAATTATTTGTGGCACATAGACATAGACATATTTTGTAATATAAATATATTATGTAATATATTAAATGATGTCCCATTTATAAAATAAATAAATAAATAATACAAGCCCAGTTTTTCTTGAAGTACGTCACAATACAGAATATTTTCAAGGTAGGTATATAGAAAAACTTAAAATAAAATTTAAAGATATATCCGAGTTTTTTTCTTACAATTTAGCATCTTAGATAAAATTCCAGTATATTCAGATTTTATTGCCCAAGTATAAATGTCCTGGAAAAATTTGGCGGGGGGCCCCCGAATTCTTATCGCCGCCACTGTTCTTTGTTATCATTGATTACTGACAGTTCGGTTGTTATTTTTCTGGGGCTACATGAACAGTTTAGTGTACCAGGGCGAAGTTGACACATATAAACAACTCCGCGAACTTGTCATTGCACCTGCACATGAAACCCGAAACCATCCGGATATGATAGCAAGAGCGCCCAAAATTTTTACTTTACTTACAAAGATTTTAATGATTTTTTTATTGAAAAAAAATTGCACTAATGCAAAAATGATGAAGGAAAAACTTTCTTATTTTGGCGTGTATCCTTCTCTTAAAGGATGACAACTTATTTGGTGAGAAAACTTTTTTGATAAACCATCAGTAGGTGAAATTATGGACCACATTGTGAGGATGTGAGAAAAAATACTTACCAACTGTATAATGTGGCGACTTCGTGGTACTAGGTGCTATAGGTTTTATTGTTATGGTTTCCACTAACTGTTGTTTAAAATCCAAACCATTATTTGGATGTGGAACTGCAGTATCATTGTATTGGTAGTCAACATATTCATCATAAAAATACTCGGACTCTTCAGGACTTGGGGGTAGGTTACCTCTGATACCATCCTTGGTTTTGTTCGATTTTAGTTTTTGCCACTGAGAAAACACCTTAAAGTCAACTAAGTATACTAAAAGTACTATTTGAATGTCAATTTATGTTACTTGTGATGTCCCATACTGCCCAGGAGCTGACAACAGTTCAGCTTCGCACCCCGGAGCAACCATATCAAGGTTGTTTTGATTTTCAGTACATTCTTGTCTTGATAAACGCATCTCCCTTAAGAGAGTACCATCAACGCACCTTGGGCCATTGCTGGATGATTCTTGTAGCCAGTTTTGCAACCACATTAAGTTACAAGAACACACCAAAGGATTACCTAAACAATATAATAAGGTAACACATTTTTTCCAAAATCAACTTACCTTCTATATCTAACACAGCAATATTTCCCCTCAATCTCTCAACTGCTTGCTCAGGGAAGGTCATCATTTTATTATTCTTCATGGTCAACACCCTAAGTCTGGGCATATTGTTGAAAGACCCCTGCACACCACAAATATTATTATCGTCCATTCTCAACTCCACCAGCCACTCCATTTTCTCCAAGTTTGCACCAGCAACTCTGTTAAGCCTATTTTTGCTTAGATCCAACATCTCCAAGGATCTTAAACTCCTCAAACCGGCATCTTCAACAGACAATAACTGATTGTGACTCATATTCAACATTAACAAGTGCGGAACAATGTTGAATGTATTTGGTCCAAGCAGTCTCAACTGATTTTCCTGAAGTTCGGCTTTCTGAAGCAGAGGAAGGTTCGAGAAGGCACTGTTGGGAAGTTCCTTAAGCTTATTTTTGCTTAATTTTAGTGATTTTAGTAATGGTAAAGCTCTTATTGCATGGGGTTCTATAAACTCCAACTCGTTGTTATCCAAATCCAAAGTTTTTAAATGCTGCAGGCTATTAAACGCGCCTTGCTTCAGTTCCTGGATGAAATTCTTCGAAGCTTTTAGCTCTTTCAAAGATGTAAGACTGTTCAATATATCAGTGTCAATGTGTTTCAACCGATTTTTGGTTAAATCCAATATTTGCAGATTCTTCAAACCAAAGAACGTTGATGACAGCTGAACTAAACCGTTGTGTGAAGCATCTATGACTTGTAATTCTCTATTTTTATCTAATGTTCCTGGTAAAATCTCGCTGATTTGATTTCTGCTGATATCCAATAATTTTAACATTGGAGCATTTTTAAACACATCGGGTAAAAGAATATCCAATCTGTTGTTTCGTAAGTTTAACTCTCTCAATTCGATCATTTCCTTTAACGCGTAAGGGTGAATTTCCGTTATCCTATTCTCATGGAAATCCAACGTCTCAAGCCTATTTAAACCTTCCAATGCTGTTTCACTGATGCTTTGTATTAAATTGTGCGAAACATACAACCTTCTTAACTGCGGCATTGTTATTAAACCACCTTTGATTAATTTATGTATTCTATTCGATGAAATATCCAGGAGTCTTAAAGATGGTAGATCCAAGTCGGGAGAGGGTTGTAAAGGTAAGGCCGTAATCTGATTGTGAGACATGTGAAGGTACTCTATTCCTCTAGGTAACCCTGGTACAAACTCTAAAAGCCTATTGTGACTAATATCGAGCTCATACAACCCCAATAGATGCCTGAATGTGGCTGGGTGTAAAGCGGATAAGGCATTGAATGATATGTTAACATGCTCCAACTCTGGTGTCAAAATGAAGAACGCTGGATCAATGAAGGTCAACTCGTTTAGACTGACGTCGATGCGCCTTAAAGCCGGTAGATTTGCTAGAAATTCTGGCTCGAGCCTTCTGAAGAAGTTACCGGATAAATCCAACCCTTTAAGGGCTGGCAAATTCCATAATGGACCTTCAAGCATGTCCGATAGGGAGTTGTTTTTCAATCTCAACTCCCTTAACGCTGGCATGGCCATAAACGCTTCCCTGTCTATCAGATGTATTTTGTTGTAGTCCAAATGTAGGTACTCTAATGTTGGGTGTCCTCTAAGAGCCCCGAAAGGTATAGCTTCAAGATTATTGTAGCTCATATCGAGGAATTGTAGTCTGGGCAACGCATCCAGTAGAGATCTTAGTTCGGCTACGTGACTTATATCGTTTTCCACCAGCCATAGTTCTTCCAAACCGGAACCGGAATGCTGCAGAAAACTTTCAGGGTGAACTCTTCTAAGGTTGTTTCTGTTTAAATCCAAACTTCTAAGCTGAGGTACTCTATGGAAAGCACCGTGGTGCAACTCGGTTATCAGGTTATTCGATAAGTGTAACTTTTTGAGGGCCGGTAGGTCTACAAAGGAAGCCTCTCCTATTTTATCGATGTAATTGTAATCTAGTTTGATAACTTCCAGTTCTGGAAGGTCCCTACTGCCTCTACCAATCATTCCAGCGTCAATTATTTTGTTTCCAACAAAAGCGAGTTCCTTTAAGGCTGGTAGATTGCTTAAGGCTCTGGGGTGCATCCAGTTTACACCACAATAGGAAATATTAATCAAATTTAAACTGGGTAAATCTATGAGCACGTTAGCTTCAAGCCTTGTAAGCCTGGGACTCATGGTTATGTGCAATTTTTCGAGCCTGGGGTTGTCTTTAAAGTTCCTCGGAGATATTTCAAGCAACGACAAAGACTCAACTTGCACGTATCTCAAATTTGGAAGCCTCGATATCAAAGGCAACCTCTTCATCAAGTTAGTTTGCACTGTGATAGCCTCTAAACTGTTCAAATGAAGCAGCGAATCCTCCGGTAGAGTTCTCAACTCCGGTTCCACGATAAAGAGCTCCATAAGCGAGCCACCTAAACCTCCCAACCAATCACTGGAGACTCTTTCGAGGCCGTTGTAGCGCAGCATCAACCGCATCACTTTTAGGTGTATGAAGGTTTTCCCCGGCAGGGAGGGTAAGTAGTTGTTTTCCAGTATTAGTTCATCTATTGGCCGTGTTATGTAGTGACCCACGGATCTTAGACCATCTAGAACCCTGGGAAGGTCGCTGTGTGAACACCTGCAATGAATTTCGTGATATACAGGGTGTTTGTAGTTTGTTAATTATATTTTGTAAAATTTTAACTTAATATTTTGTAGAAAACCAGGGTTTGTAATTATTTTAACAAAGGAAAATACTTAACCGAAAGTTTTGTTATATGCAATTTTGTATGCATCTTGTTAATTTCAAAGGTTACAGAATATTTTGTTAATGTTTAACAAATTATTTCGTTGAAAAAGTATACGTGATTTTAGGCAGTGAATCAAAACATTTCCTACTGACAATACGCATCAACAAGTTTAACTGACTAAAGTGTCTGCAACTTATGTTTCTGCTTACTTTATGCTAACACGCACATCGCCTTCACGTCGTGCGGAATCATGGGTGACGGTAAAAACGCTGCGATATGATATTCATTTTATGATTAATGGGAATACACGCACGGGCATCAAAACGCACATGGCCTTCACTTCGTGCGGAATCATGGATGACGGTAAAAACGCTGCGATATGATACTCATTTAATGATTAAGGTGAATACACGCACGTGATTGGTATATGAGGGCACGAAATGATTGCAAACTTTTCACTTTTGCTAAATAGTTATCGCAAAATTGTAGATGTAATACTAGATCTACACTACACCTTGCGAAAATTGTTGATTTTACTTTATATTATAAGTTATAACTAAAATTTTCAAAAAATTGACTGGATTTGTAAAGACTAAATTTGTGGACTACAAATTTTGTATAAAAAATATACATAATTTTATTTGGAATTCCAAATTGGAATTGATCTTAAGATCAACGAGATAACACGTTGATCTTAAGATCACGTTTATAAATTAACTTATCATTAATTAATTTATGAATTTGTAAAAAGATAATCAAAATAGGATATCTTTTTATAAATGTAGACAATTGTCATAAAAACTAAAATAAATGACTTTTGGGTTATTACTTATTGACCAAAATTTCGCAATAAATCAATTTTATGAATGATTAACAGCAAAGTTTTGGACTTGCCCCGTCTTAATTTGATTGTTTTTCTTACAACGTTTCACGTTTGTTTAGGAAATTGATTAATAAGCAACATTTCTAGTTAAAATTATTTTCATTTAAGTTCCCAACTTTTAACAAATACTTTTGTTAAATTATTGACATAGGATTTTGTTATTAAATCTACAAAATGTTTGATATAATTACAAACTTCCTATTCAATAATTTAACAGATTTCAGTTGGTTGTAAACTTAACATAAAGTTGAACTTGTTGATGCGTATTGTCAGTGGGAAATGTTTGATTGGCTGCTTAAAATCACGTGTACTTTTTCAACGAAATAATTTGTTAAATATCAACAAAATAATCTGTAACCTTAATAATTAATCAATAATTAAAATTAACAAAATGCTTACAAAATTGCATATTACCTTCAATAATGTTAACAAATATGATTTTCATAACAGTGTATATTTTTCAAAAAACATTATAGTTTCTTACCATATTTGGTATTCGTCCCCGCGCATCAGACATCTACAGGGCAGTATGCTTTCCAACGGTGGGCATCCACTTTGGGCACTGATCCGATTAATGAGCCCGCTGAAAAGCAGCATAAGCACGCAGTGGCAATTCATGTTTGATTAAGTCATGACGGGTGATTTCTTTTTTCTAGTCCGTCCGTAATTGGGACGTTTAGACCATTATTAGCGTTTTCCTAGAGGTGCGGACGCGTCGCTGCTGCAATAGATGCTAAATCAATTGGTGGGAATATTTATATTTCCTGTACGGATTAGTTAATCGGAAATCAGTTTTTTCGGTGGTATTGTTCGATTATTTTATGCTTTCAATGCGGTTTTGTTCATTTTAGCTAAGATTCTCAAGAAACGTGCGTGATATGAAGAAATGAAAATTTGAATTTGGCCAGTTTTACATATGTATTTTTGAATTTCCCATGTATTAATTGTTCATAAAATCAATCAGAAAATAGTAAATAATTTTAAAAATATTGATTTTATTTACTTAATATGTAAAATAACAAATATTAAACGTTGTTGCTAGCAAAAATTCTAAAAATGTAATTAAATAACGAAGTTATAAACAAATATAGATGCGAAACCTCATCTTAGATGAGGGATGTCTTTTAGATATCTTATTTTAAATATCTTATAGAGGGCTAAAAAAAGTGATAGTAGGGTTGTCAGGACTTCTATATTTAACGAAAATATTTTATCTTCTATGCTCCTAAAATATAGAAGCAAAATCTTCTATATTTCAGCGTTTTAGAATAAAAAATATAGCTGCAATGTTCAGTTTATAATATTGTATTTATTGAGTTTAATTTAAAAAATGTTAAATTAATACTGTATCTTTTTATTTTAATCTAGCAAAATACAGGGTGTTTTACGTTAGTGGTCTATTAAAAGATTCTGGACGGCAAAAGATATAGATTTGAAATTTTTAAAGCCCTTATAATCCAATTATGTCTATTTTTCTAATGAAGAAAATGCCACTTCCGGTTTGACCGCCATATAATTTTACTTACCTACAAAACCATGTCCTATACTGCCGTACTTAGGGAAAAGGCAGTAAAGTGCAAAAAGCTAAATTGGAGAAAAATAAAATTTAAATTTCAGATAATTTATAACTAAATTAATAATATTATTCTTCTACAATTATATATAAATGACTAATAATATTTTACATGGTTTTCTAAGAAGTCATTTGCGTGTGTATTTAAAAAGTAATTTATTGGCGGGCTTAAAATAAATGACGTACTGTCTTTTATTGCTGTAAACCAAAAGGCAGTAACATATGACTTAATGCCTTTTTACTATGTAAAACAAGATTACTGCTTTTTTCCGTTGTTTTTTTTAATTGTCATATTAATTATTTTGTTAAAAAAGCGCAGTAATTCGGAATAAAAAATTTTTTTCGTTTTTAATAAATTTTATTCATTGAAAAATAAACACAACTAGGTAAAACAATTATTATCTTATCACCGTTGAATCACAAAATATAAAATACTGATTGTAATTTTCTAATTTTTGCACATATAATTAATTTTTTTTACTATTACAAACGATTAATATTTATATAATAACAATTATATTGTTATTCATGTAACGATGAATACAAATATTTAACAATTATTTAATCTTTTTAAATTTTAGAATTATCAGGTAATGAAAAAAAAAACAGTATTAAAAATTAAACAAAGACTATTTTTTAAATTATTTCTTTAAAAATTATAAAATCTTCGTGAATTTAAACATTTTTCGAGAAAAAAAACGGAGGTTTAATCACATGGAAAACTTTTTGAACAAAATGAAAACTAATTAGAACCTCAACAAAATCTATCTAGTAACTAAAAAAATATGACTTTTAATTTAAAAGCCCGGAACAAAACTGCACACCGCTCACAACAATATTTGACATTCAAATGTCGATAATTCAACAGAAAAAAGCAGTAAAATGACGATTACTGTTTTTTTTTTTTGTTAATTACAGATCATAATATAATCACATGACACTTAATAAAGCGTAAAAAAGCAGTACTAATCTCTCTCAGAAGATAAAAGCAGTATAGTTTGAATTTTACTGCTTTCTTACTTTGAGAAATAGATTTACTGCTTTTATACTCAGGAAATATAATTAATTCAAAATATTTGTCACATTTAAAAAACTACTTTCTTATGGAAATAAAGTTATTAATGTAATATTTTATACTGAATAAACGTTAAATCAATAGAAAAACATATTGGTACTGAAATTTCAAAAAAGCAGTAAGTGAACATTACTGCCTTTTCCCTAAGTACGGCAGTATACCTACAGTGAGTAGTTTTTTATTTTATTTTTTTTCGTTTAATTTTGACAAATGCGTCAATCAAAAATAGTTGGGGGAATTTTTGGAATCTTTAAACATTGGTTAAAAGATTTCATGCCAAGTCTTTAAAATATCTAAAGAAATTACTTGAAAAAACCCATGGCAAATTAGCCCAAATTGAAACGTAATTTATTTTTATTTTCAATGTAATAATAATAATAATTTATTTATTCTCCAACAGTTTTTACAATAAAGGACATTCAAATAACAATTAACCCTTTATGTTTTTACATAATCAAATAGAAAATTAAAAACATTTTGATTAAAGTAACTATTCTCTATACCTAAATTTAGTAATTTCAGAGATATTTAACAATTTCTAATATTAGACCTAGAATTAAGAAATGCTTGAATCTACTTAAATGGAGGACATTTTAAACTTTTAGTAATAAATTAGTAATAAAAATTGTTAATTAAAATATTGTTGGTTTATTAAATTTTTACAGTTACGCATTCTTTCATAAAATATTTTTTTTTATTTTATTGTCTCCAATGAGTTAGTGCTTTACCTATTTAGTTGATATCATACAGCTTCATTAAGTTTTTTTCAAAATTAGCAAATACTATTTGTATAATTTTAAAATATTTAAAATGTTTGGCTTGTTAATGTTTTTTACAAGTCACTGACTGCTATTTTTTATCAGAATTTTTGTTTACAAAATACTTAATTAGTCAACAAATTGATTATAACAACCTGAAAAATTGCCGCCATTAACAATGACAGATTACGTGGTAACCATAGATACCAGATACCAGATACCTTGTCTCTGATAGATACCGTCAACTCACCCGTCACAGGTTTCTTGATAAAAAATAATATTTAAAATTTTATAAATTGTTAAATATCTCTAAAATTATTAGCTATAGGTATAGGGAATAGTAACATCAATCAAAAGTTTTTTTAATTTACTATTTCATTGTGTAAAAACATACCGGGTGTAAAATTTAAAATAAAAGAGCCTTAAGTTAACCTAATTTGCCCTGGGTTTTCTTAGGTAATTTGTTAAAAAAATGTTAAAGAATTGACATGGGATCTTAAAAACAATGTTTTAAGATCCCAAGAATTCCACCGCTATATCCGCAAACCTAATAACAAAACAGTTATAGGCTATTTTTGATTGACGAGCATTTCTTAAATTTTAACAAAAAGATTATTAACTGGAAAACTATTCACTCTGTTTAATCGTGATTGTGAAAAATATTGTAAAATATTAGAGATAAATGAAACAAATTGTTTTCATAATTTTACCCGGCGCATCCGCCATTTTTGACAAGTAATTTTACGATTACCTATAATTAAAATAAAACCACTAAAACAAGATCACTAGACAAGATAATTTTGAAAGAAAAATGAAGCAATTCATTAACTTTGTTTAACAAAAAGGCAATTTAATTTCTACAAAAAGTTATCTTTTGATTTCTACCCAAATAAAATATTATTATGTTATGTCATTTAATTAGGAAAAGTTATATTTATTTTAATATTATTTTAAGAATTGTGAAATTTGCAACAAACCATAGTGTCTTCTCCATTACATAACATATTCGTGTTATAACTAATTTGTCAAAGGAGAGCATAACAATGTTTATGAGTAACTAAAAACAATGCCCAACATTTTTTATAGAAATTTTCAAGATTTAATTACCCTTCACAGTCGAGGAGGCACAGGAAGCACTTTCCCTGCTTAAAAATGCTAATCATTGCAGATGCGTATTGAAATACGTTTCAAGGGCGCCCGATATATTTTGGAACAACTTTTTTTATTATTCTTGCTTGATTATATCTACGCGAAATCCCTCTTTAAGCAATGCATTCAAATCAAAAAGAGTATGCACAATTTAACATACATAAGTAATTACTTTCGGTTACTTAACACGAAAGCATCAAGATCAAGCGTTTTACGAGTCTAACACGCGGTTATCATTATTTTGCGGAGAAATTGTTCTATTAAAATTTATTAGTTATTTAATAAAATCGAAAACGAACTTATACTTTGACACCCTGTATCTTGGTTATTATCAACTTTTATATATAGGTAAATTTAGTTTAGTATTACGAATGTACTTTTACTACAGTTCTACACAATAAAAAGTAAAAAAATAATCAATCATACAAAGAAAAAATGGTAAAAGGCGAGTTCGCGTCTATTTGTTGCTGCTTGAGGCGAGAGAATTGAAGCATGGGCATGGGTTTTGAGTCATATGACATTATTTAAAATTGTTGTCTGATCTTTTATAGTTCTTGTCTCGATTAGTAATAGTAGATTGTTCTACTATACTGCCCTACTATGGAGAAAGGCAATAACTACAAAAAAAATCTTAATGCGTTTTCTTGTGCTATGATAAAGCTATGGACATTTTGTAACTTAATTCAACTAAGAAATGCAGTAAGCTATCTTATAAGTCAAATAAATCAATTAAATATCTACTGCTTTTTATAAAAATTTAGTTTATGCCAATTTTCCACAGATTTCTTGTTTAGCAGTTACTGCCTTTCTCCATAGTTGGGCAGTATATAAGTAAACTTTTCTTACGAGTTGAACATGCTATTTTTTGTATCCTTAATGGAAAAAGTGGAAAACTTAATAATATTATATCAAAAATTATTTTGTTACAATTTTTAACATACAGTTCATTTTTTTTATCTGGACTCGTGTTTTTTGTTAGGTTGGTGGCTTATGCCAGTTTGACTTAGTATTTAAAAATGGTACTTCTGCTAAAGAATTTAATTAAATACTTTGACACTGTCAA